CCCCAGTGCTTTGAATTTGGTCTGTTTAGGTTCTTGTATATGCATAGAATACCACCTGGTTATTTGAGCTGCCTGCCAAAATTTGGAATTTTAACTGTTTGATTAAAATCTTATACAGATTCGGGAGCTCATTGAGTCCTTTGAAGGTCCTCAGCCTGCAGACGTGAGGCTGATGAAAAGAAAGACAGGTGAGAGCTCTTAACCCAGTTTTTCGTATGGCCTTCCTCTTCCCCGTACCAAAAGAGTATCCAGAATTACCCCCAAACTGCAAGCACGTGCAATAAAAATAAAAGGTTTGCCATGGCTAAGGAATGTGGCCTTTTTGGAAGATTTTTAGATAGCTGGTCAACATGTTAAAAAGAAGTCTGTCTGCAGGGGGTTTTGTTAACAGGTATTGGTAAGTAATACTAGTATAAACCCTTTTGATAGTATGTAGTCTGTTGCATGGTTACCTTTAAACATGGATTCAAAATCGAAAGAAATATAGCCAGTTAAGGGAGCTTGGTTCCTTGCCATGGCAAAATAACGAGCAGATCGCAGCAGTTGACGTCGAATTTGTAAAGCTGCTTTGTCATGAAGTAATGAAGCAGTTGGAGAGAGATTCACCTGTTTTAAAGGAACTGACTAACACAAGTATCCCGTCTATATCTGAATGCTGTCTCTAGGTGTAAGCCGTGGTTTCGCCTTCGTGGAGTTTTATCACTTTCAAGATGCTACCAGCTGGATGGAAGCCAATCAGGTTGCTTCACTCACCAAGTCTAGATATTCCTGAATATGGAACAAGTCTGTACAGTTTAAAAAAAAAAAGGAAAAATAAAGGTGGAAGGAGTGGTTTGTTCCATAACACTGATTTAAAAGAATAAAAGCTTTGTATATATTAAAATTTTTAACAGTGGAACAAAATATCAGGTGACAGTAGGAGAGAAAATTGGCTACTTTGCTCCCTGAAAAATGTGCATTTGTCTTAAATTGCATGGTGCTGATCTAATTGACTGCTGAAGGTTTATGAAGCAGTCCTTAGAAAACTGAACTTCTGCCTAAAATTTACTTCTCCTTGGTTGCCAGAGAAAGCAGCATATGCTGATTTCTGCATTATGGCGATTGTAACCCTGACAAAATTCAGAAATTGATGTGCCAGATCATAGGAGTCTGGGGAGCACACTAGCTCTTTCAGAGGAGGAGCGCCTTAATGCCAAACTAAACTAGTGAAGCTAGAGTTCTTTTGAAAGTTAGACTGGATATTTTGACGTCTCTGGAGTATGACTCGAGAAGTCAGTTTAAAAAACAAAACAAAAAACCCTTCCATTAGAACATCTCTTCTTTTTCAGGGAAATTTCCTTTTGCACTGCAAATAGTTACACTTGTTTTTGCTGTGTTGTGGAGATTCATGATCTCTTTTAACAACAGAATATAAAAATCCTCTAAGCGAGTGGAGCATATCTAGCTTTTTTCTTTCTTACATCTAAGTAACTGATGTTAAGGTCTTGAGAGGTGTGATGAAAAGTGTCTTACGTTGCTTTAGTGCATAAAAGGGCACCATAATGGATTTGTAGATATAAATTTCAGTAGACCAAAGTTGCAGCATACTGTATTTTAGAATGGGATTTCATATGTCTCATACCATGGATTATTATCCTGGTAAAAGAGCAGTGTTGATTCAGGAYGGATTTTTCTGTCATGCTAATCAGTAAGGTCGCATCAGAAAGACTTACGTTAACAATTAAATGTTCAGCATGTTTTCAGAAATGAGATAATTTTAATATATACAAAGCTGTATTGATGTATAAATTCATTGAAACAAATACTCAAATTCACTCCAGTAACCCAGCCACCCTAGTAGTAGGGAAAAGATAGAATCTCCCCAGCAGCCTTGTTGCTGTTAGATGAAAGGATGATGTGTTGTAACTCTGCCACCAGCTTTGTTTCTATGTGTGCATATCCAGTGAGTGCTGGGCCCTCCAACCCTCCCTCCTGCCGGTAGGAGAAATGGCTTTGCCCTTATTAGTCATGCAGAATGTGAGAGCCCTGTCAGTGCTACATGTTAGATCTGTAAGATGCCCTTACAGAAAAGCCACTGATCCTGGCACTTCTTTCGTGCTTCTGCCATACAATAACCCTTTGTAAAGTATTTTTCCATTAAAATGTCTGGGATATGGTCTTAACGCACATTTTCTCAGACATACTCCTGCTTGTTAGACTGAAATGTTTTGATGACCATATTTGGAAAGGACATTCTGCATTCCCAGGCTTGGCAAAGTCTGAGGCTCAGAATCATGGCTTCTGAAATAGATTCAAATTCCTGACTCACTTAAAGTCACACAGTGAGAGGACATGTTGTGACAGCATTATGAACTTTTCCTACCCCTGGAGAAGCTTCATTTGCAGTCTAGTTACACATTTGTTTTGGAGAGTTCCTGCCTGAATGAAGAACACAAACCTCTTGTGCAGGCTTTCATTTGAACTGGTGCATTAGTCAAAGGAATCTACTCAGAGCTACATTTCAGTTGATGGCACTTGTCATCCATCCTCCAAGAAGTCTAAAAAGGGTCCCTTTCGGAGGAGTTACTGTATTTTCGAAGGGATACATACTGAAGAAAGTGGTTGGAAAAGCAGTCCAAATGCTGTTGATTAAAGGTGTAGGGTATTTGGAGCAGGGGAAGAAGTGAAGCAGTCACCTAAGGACATGTTTAAAAAGTTGCTCAGTGATATATCGGAAGTGAATAGAAACATTTGGGGGCAAAGAGACTCCTAAAAATGCGTTAATCCTGAATGCAGCAGGTTAGGACTTTGTCTCCTTCGAGACACTTCTGGTTCCATGTCAGCGTTTAGTGTTTGGCAGCTTTTTTCAACACTCCCTGATTCTGTTTATCTTTGCTCCACATCCCATTCTCTTACTGCCCTCGTCCTCCTCTCTGCAGGATTGGATGGGCAGGGTGTAGGTGGCGGTGGTTGTTCTCCACGTCCTCCCCATATGTTGTCCATTTAATTCAGGAGCACTGATTCCTCCGAAGGGTGCTCTGCCATGGGAAAATAAACACATGTGCCTCGATACGGGAATAATTGAAATCACCTTTTTTGCAGAAAAAGCTGGTGATTCAGGGGAAGCAGATTGCGATGCACTACAGCAACCCCAGGCCTAAATTTGAGGACTGGCTTTGTAACAAGGTACAGTGTTTATTTTTGACGTAGAGAGCTGCTCCTCAGTTCACTAGCTCAGTAACTGGAGCAAACAGCTGAAAGATTCACACTGTTGGTCCCTGTGACATCATGCAGATACCTAGGCAGTTGAATGAAAATGCAAGGCTTCCGTAGCTCTGGTGGCTACAGATGGAAATGTTCAAACAAAAGGTGTCTGGGGCTGTGTCAGAGTCAGGAGATCAACACTGCATCTCAGTACTTGCTGTCTGCATTAGCCTGCAGGCTTTACCAGCGAGGCTGAGTGTTGCTTGAAACATGTGACTGATACAGAGCAACTCTTCTAGGAGGAGTTACTGTTCACATCTAAAGTGGTGCAGCAGTTGTTTGATACAGAGTTTAAGGCTTGTTAAGGGAATTATTTGGTTAGTATGCCATGCATGTTAGAAAGATAGAAATTACTTCCAGTTCTACTTTATCTGGCTTCTGCTTTTGCTTTTGGGTGCTGTGATTGTTCACAGACACATACTATAAATGGAGACTGGAAAGATAATATTAATGATTCTGATTTTATACAGAAAGACCATACAGTAAGCTGCTTTAGAATATGAAATCATTAGATGAGTGTGGTATCCCTCAGTTCAGCTTGTTTGACCCCTCTCACCACTACCCAACCACTACCTGGCTTAGCAAGATCAAAACCAGGCTCTTCTGTCGTGCCTCAAGTGCGTGTTTTCTTCCCTAAGCATAATTTGCTTATATCTTAGTCTTATGTTTGTTTCAGTATTGCGTTGTTTTAAAACGGTTACTAAGGCAGCGATTTTAAGTTGAAGACCATGGAGTTAAAATAACTAAAAAATTTGAGACACGATTACTGATGTGGCTAMAAGGGAATGTAGATATTCTGAAAAGCAGCCGTGATGCAGATGAGTGTGGGTCTTGCTGTTGTTTATTCTGGTGTGCTTAGCAGCATTGTGGTACTTTGCATTAAATGGCTTGTTTTTGGTATTGTACAGCACATGCCAGAATGGTTATGAAGTACTTGAAGCTCTTACTATTTGTTGCTCATTTTTCCTCCTAGTGCTGCCTTTACAACTTCAGGAGGAGGCTAAAATGCTTCCGTTGTGGAGCGGACAAGTTTGGTAAGCCATGTTGATCTCTTGATGTGTTTGTATTTTTTGTGGGAGGCTTTGTCCTGCAGAGGAAAGAAAGTTCACAGTAGGTTCTAGGCTGACTTGCAAATTGTTTTTTTGGAGAGGTATAGGCTTATTGTGGCTAACGTATTTTCCTCTTCCTGTGAAGACTCGGAGCAGGAGGTACCACCAGGAGCAGCAGAAGCCGTTCAGTCCGTGGATTATTACTGCGATAGTAAGTTATGTTAGACTTCCTTCATAAGATGTAACATAAACATACATGTTAATCCTTCTTGTAATTTCAACTGGGTTTCAGCACCCACCTTGAGATTCCAATGTGGATGGTTTAGCATGGCTTGGTTTTGGTTTGTAGACTGGTGTATGTGAAATTTTCTGAGCAGAAGCACCAAACAATGGGAACTCTTTGGAAAACTACTGATAGCTTTCTCACCTTCATAGTGAAGCAAGTTCTACTTCCTGCCGGCCTCGCAGCGTTTGCAGTTTTGATACTGAAATACACTGCTATTTGAAGAACTTAAGAGTACTCCTGAAAAGCTTTTAATATGCTCAGCTAACATTATGCTTCCTTTTCAGCCATCATTCTCCGAAACATTGCTCCTCACACAGTAGTGGAATCCATCATGACTGCATTGTCTCCATATGCCTCTCTGGCGGTGAATAATATTCGTCTCATCAAAGACAAACAGACTCAGCAAAACAGAGGCTTTGCATTTGTGCAGCTGTCCTCTGCCATGGTGAGGGCCTTATTGATTTGAGAGAAGTAGCTTGTTGATGTCCTTGTGTAGCTGAAGCTTTTAGAGCCCTCGTCCTGTGTTGAAGGACTGCCCCTGCTTACTGAGCATTCACAGGTCATATGTGGATAGGTACTTGGAGCTCCTTTTGTAATGCCAGCCAGGTTGGAGAGGAAAATGCTCTCTGTCATCAGAAATTGCAGGATGGGGGTTACTGGGAACACACTTGAAAAGTGTTTTGATAGAGTAGTGAATAGTACTTGAAGACTGGTTTTGTATTTGGATCACAAAGATGATGCATAGGCTGTAGTGTGTGAGAAGAGACTGAGAGAATTAGGCTTCTTCATCCTTGGCAGCACCCTGTGAGAAGAATAAGGGGAGGTAGACTCTTCTTGGATGTTGTACGAAATTCGTAGGCAACAGACAAAAATTGAGAGGTGAAAATCCAGGGAGACGCACAGAAAATGTTTTTACCATGAGTGTGCCTAGAATCTACACTAAAAACTCAGATGTGGGCAGTCCTGAGCAGCCTGGACTGTTTAGACCTGCCTTTTATTGTAATGTGTTTCTTGTTACAGGATGCTTCTCAACTGCTGCAGATTTTACAGAGTCTTCAACCACCACTAAAAATCGATGGCAAAACAATTGGTGTTGACTTTGCAAAGAGTGCCAGAAAGTGAGTTGCAGATCTCTTGGCTTTCCCTTTTACTGTTGAAAGATTTGCAGTTGTCATCTTGGCTTTTATTTATTTACAATTTTTTAATTGTTGTGATTGAAACATGAGGACAGTCTGTATCTCCTTGCATACGAAAAAGCAATGTTTACTCAGGGCCTGCTTTTTTTTGCTTTTAGAGACTTGCTTCTCCCAGATGGAAACAGGGTCAGTGCTTTCTCTGTGGCCAGTACAGCTATTGCTGCAGCTCAGTGGTCATCCACGCAGGTATGATGTGGGGGCTGATGCCTGCAGTCATAAATTGAAAACAGCATATAATTGGACTGCTCTCTGTCTGCTTAAGTGGCTCTGGCAGATCTGCTCTTGCATTTAGACTAGGATCTAGCCACTGTTGAAATTCTTCAATGCAGTAACTTTCTCTGACAAAACTTATCTACTGGAATTTCAGCCACAGACTGGGGAAGGCACCATTGACTACAGCTACCTTCAGTCAGGACAGGATGGTTACACGCAGTATGCTCAGGTTAGTAGAGTTAGTTGTACTAAAAAGCAGTCAGCAGTTAGGTTTTTGTGAGCATCTGCTCATCTTGTGTTACCATTCACTTTCTTTCACAGTACTCCCAGGATTATCAACAGTACTACCAAAATCAAGGAGTGTTGGACACAGATGCATCTACCATATCRGGTAATACATGGCATTTCAGATGGCGGGAGGTGAATTTTTTTTGCAGTGGTATTTTTGCTGTGGTGGTATTTTATCTAAGTCTGTGTTACTCTGCCGTATAAAGCGGGACTTGGCCAACTTTTCTTTTTTCAGGGTATCTAATGAAGTACATGTAACTAGAAGACTCTAGAAATTTGTGAGGTTAAAAAGAGCAGCAGCAGTTCAGAAAATTGACAAATGCCTTGAGCTGCTAAGAACTACCTAAGCAGCTCTACCCAGATTTTGTACAGCTGTCAGAGGCCAGGAATCATGACCTTGTATATCTCCTGGAAAGGAAACTGTTCCTTGGCTGGTAGAAAATACCCTCTGTGTACATGAGGCTCCTTTTGAACATTGCTTGGCTTGGCTGCTAGAGCTGGAATAGTGAGCTGAAGCTGTAAGCAAAGTAGTTCTTTCTCTGTGACTGTGTCTGTCTGTCTCTGACTATGTCTGTGACTATGTGCTATTTTATAAATGAATTGACTTAATGTTCTTTGTGTTTGCAGGAGCTCCAGTCACTACTACCACAGCAGCAGTTGTGTCCCAGAGTCCTCAGTTATATAACCAACAGACAAACTCACCTGATTCCCCGGTAATTGTAGAGCTTATTACCTCTTGCTTCCTGTGATAACCGAGTTGTCCTTAAGTGACTTATTTGTAGTGTCATCTCTTCATGTTCGTGGCACAGTAAAGTTTTTAGCATCCGTAGACAAAGTTAGTCCCACAATTTGTAACAGTTGTCTGCTGCTTCTTTCCTCTGCTGGTTTTGCCTTTCATTAAAGGTGAGTATTAAGCACAGTGGTCAGGAAAGATTGTTCACATGTGTAGTGTGTGCTCATGATACCTTGTCTCATTGCCTCTGCATCTTGACTGTCAGTGGCGGATTTTTCTGATGAGAGTTTCTGTTCTTTGTAGACACAGGCGGCACCAGCTACTACTAGCACTCAGGTGCAAGCAGCTGCCCCAACTGGTGTAGTCCCCGGCACCAAGTACGGTAAGCTGCGGGAATTGCTGTTGGTAGCGGGTATGTTCCCTCTAGTCGGGAGTGGAGTGATGTTGCCTTGGTTTTGCGATCCATCACTGTGTATGAGCAGTGAAAGTATCCCTGGAGAGTGCAGTAAGATGTGCACTAAGGACCTGAGTCTCTACAGGTTTTTGTAGTTTCTATCAGAGTTCTGTCTGAAACTTTGAAAGACATTTGTCTGAATTTAGCTGGAATGACTATGCCCTGCCTTTTGTTTTTACAGCTGTTCCTGATACCTCCACCTACCAATATGATGAATCTTCAGGATATTATTATGATCCCATAACAGGGCTTTATTATGATCCTAACTCCCAGGTAAACACAAGCTCTTCCTAACTATGATAATTCTTCAGGTCTGTTAGTTTCATGTTTCTTATCATGTTAATGAAATTTGACTTGGAGGGGCACAAAATACAGAATATAGTGCACACCCTAAGCAATATACCAAAGGGGCTGTGTCTTCCCTTTAGTACACCGCTTGCTTTGTCTCTTCCCTGCTACCTCCCAGTTTGACCTGTATGGTGTTAATGTTTATCCATAGACTCTCATTTCACTGTTGGTGAAGCAAGTTTGGGCTCTGAGATAGTTTGCAGAGTCAAAGAACCTGTAATGCTTTTGGGGAAGGACATGTTTATTCAGAGACAGAGCATTAAGCTTTTTGACCTCTTCGTGGCAGTTTGGGGTGATKTTAGAATACTCCTACCATTCATGCAGTAGTCTAAAACAACTTCCTTGGGTTCACCCCGGGCACTTAGTTTGTGTGAGGCTTTTTCGCCGTCTTAACTCCGTTTTCCATCTCCTTGACAGTATTACTACAATGCCTTAACCCAACAATATCTCTACTGGGATGGCGAAAAGGAAACCTACATGCCTGCTGCAGAAGGTATTACATACCAGCAGACAGCTACCACAACTACTACCAAAGAAGTGAAGGAGAAGAAAGAGAAGCCTAAAAGTAAAACAGCTCAGCAGGTAAAAGATGGAATGAAATCATTAACTGGGCCAAGTTCTTGTATGGAGTGAGGTTATAGTTATCCTTTTTGGTTAAGATAAAACTTAGATTCTCGTGAGAAACAGCTTCACTTTGCAGCATACGCTGCGTGCAGGGCTGAGGAAGGGTGGAATTGGCAAGACTTCAGAAGACAATTCTTCATAAGAGGAACACATAAAAAATCACACCAAGAACAGTGGGAGTGTAACTAGATGCACTAAGAGTGAATAAGAAGGATTCATCCAGTGGTGGAAACAAGCTCAAGTATTTTTGAATGCTCTGTAGAGGGAGGAGTGGCTGCACTACATCTGGCGTCCTCTCTTAAAATGATATCAAGTAGTAGGTCTCACTGACCCTTTTGGAGACGAGCATCTCTAAAGAAGCTGAGTGGATTGTTCTGTGTGCCTTTCAGATTGCTAAAGACATGGAACGTTGGGCAAAGAGCTTGAACAAGCAGAAGGAGAACTTCAAGAACAGCTTCCAGCCACTAAGCACCAGAGAGGAAGAACGGAAAGAATCAGCGGCCGCAGACGCCGGCTTTGCCCTCTTTGAGAAAAAGGTGACAGCACTGGGAATGGGCTGCATAGTTGGCAGACAGCAGAAAGCAAACTCTGTGCTCATGGTGTTTTGCCTTATTTAGGGAGCTCTGTCTGAGAGACAACAGATCTTGCCAGAAGTGATCAAAAATGGGGAAGATGAGAATCCACTAAAGGTGAGTCTGAGGTTTCTCCCAAGTTGGTTTGTGTTTGAAAGAGATGGGAATTTTTTATTCCCAAAGGTGAAAACATGGTAACATGRTAATTAAAACATGATATTCTCCGTTTAGGAAGGTGTGCTGCAATGCACTGTGTGACTCAGTTGCAATGAGAAGAGTTCTGATTTCTTCTACTTTACAAGCCACAGAGTTTGGTTGAGGTTTTGAGGTTTCCGAAGAGTCCGTATTCGAACTTGCTTGGTTAATGGGAACTAAGACTTGTAGCAGCTGGAGTAGCCAGTGGTTTGTCTCATGTTTAGCCTCCTTATTCTACTTCTGGCCTCCTCTCCTGATACGGTGATACTATTACACTTCCCTCATACTGTTGTTCTTCCAGCGAGGCCTAGTGGCTGCCTACAGTGGTGACAGTGATAATGACGAGGACTTGCTGGAAAGAATGGAGAATGAAGAAGAGAAGCTGACTGACTGGAAGAAAATGGCTTGTCTGCTGTGCAGAAGGCAGTTCCCAAACAAAGATGCTCTGATTCGGCACCAGCAGCTGTCTGACTTGCACAAGGTAATAAAAACATACTGCCAGAAAAGTAATTAATTGATGTAATTCAGCATATAGGCCAAAGTGTGTGGCTGCTGGAATGATCTTTCCCTTAAAKCAAAAAGTCTTTTTGATGATAGTCAGGTTATTCTATAAATCAGCCATTTATTTAAAACATACTTACTACCGTAAGCTTATTTGCTGGTGTGTTGTGAATTTTGTGTTGTTAATACAAATCTCTTGTTGCAGCAAAACATGGATATCTATAGGAGATCAAAGCTTTCGGAGCAGGAGCTTGAAGCTTTAGAGCTACGTGAGCGGGAGGTCAGTGTTTAAGTGACTAGATGAGTGACTAATAAAAAAGACCTGTACAAGGGAGGGGTTCAGCTCTCATACTGCTGACTTGTCTCTTGTGAGATAATCCTGGTAAGCTTAACCCCTTCTTGGGTCAAGGTTCAGAGCCTTCCTGCTGTACGGAGGTCTCTCYGTGATAGCACAGCTGCTGCTTATGAGGGGAATCACAGAATCACAGAATATTCAAGGTTGGAAGGGACCTCTAGAGATGATCTAGTCCAACCTTCCTGGTCAAGCAGGCACACCTACAGCATGTGGCACAGGGTGGCATCCAGGCGGGTTTTGAAGACCTCCAGAGAAGGAGACTCCACAGCCTCCCTGGGCAGCCTGTTCCACTGCTCTGTCACCCTCACAGTAAAGAAGTTCCTCCTCACCTGGAGACGAAACTTCCTGTGCTCCAGCTTATGGCCATTACCCCTCGTCCCGTCGCTCTTCCACTTCAGCATCTGATGAGAATCCTCTGCTGGGGCTGGTGGCTTTGATGGGCACCTAAACTACTAAAAATCCAGCAGATTCTGCCTATTTTGCAGCCACGCTCTTCATGACCATGTGCAGTTTAATTTGTGTCTCAGAGGACTGCAATTCAGAACTTTCTATAATACCAGTCATTGAGTTTTACTTCAGAGCTTAAAATAAGCAAGAGTCTTTTAAAACAATGTTATTTTTTTGTTGCAGATGAAATACAGGGACAGAGCTGCTGAGAGGCGGGAGAAATATGGCATCCCAGAGCCTCCTGAGCCAAAACGCAAGAAGGTCTATGATGCTGGCTCAGTGTATGTATCTGACAGTTCGCCTGGTGCTGCCTTGGGTCCATGCTGAGCACTCTATTGAAGTGATCTTTTCTCTTTTTCCTGTAGTAATTACGAGCAGCCCACTAAAGACGGCCTTGACAATAGTAATATTGGCAACAAGATGCTTCAGGCCATGGGCTGGAGGGAAGGCTCAGGTTTGGGGAGGAAATGTCAGGGCATCACTGCACCCATTGAGGTAAGTAGAAGTGTGGTGCTTCCTTTAGTAGCTTCTCTATTAAGAGTTACCTCTGGGGGGATCCATTACTTAACGTTGCTCTTCTATCAGAAGTGCCAGCAAAGTCTGAAGAAGGCTGTAGCGTTGCCAAATGGAAGCTCAGGCAGTGAGGGTTGTGCTCATCTCTTTGAGGAATGTGGCTCCTCAGGCAAAGTAGCAGCAGCCAAGGATTGGAGCTCAACCGCCAGACGCTGCTGAGAACAGGCTTTGCCCATGATTTGCCCATGATGAGAGTTGTGTTGTTGGGAGCTATGTTCTTGGGCCATTTGATGCCCAGTTAATTTGGGGTAAGGCTAAGTGCGTGGTCATCAAGCYTAGAATCCTGCTTCTGTGCATGGTTGAGGTCCTGCTCGAAATACTCTCAGCGGTGTAAGACCCGCTAGATGAGGCTGAGACATTGGTTTGTTTCATGAGGGTTTTCTGTGTTTCCTACGTAGGGTGGTTACCTGCCTGTAGAGGAGGGTAGGTACGTTGCTTCTTGCCCTAGAGCTGAACAAGGTCTCTTTTTCTCTTACAGGCTCAAGTACGGATGAGAGGAGCCGGCTTGGGGGCCAAGGGGAGTTCCTACGGTGTCTCTACAGCAGATTCCTACAAAGATGCGGTGCGGAAAGCCATGTTTGCCCGCTTCACAGAGATGGAGTAACGTGCTCTGGTGTGCGAGCCTGCCAAGCATTTGTTGGCCAGAACTGACTGTTAAACCCTGTAGCCTTGCTGGCCTGGCTGTGTTCTGATTATGGGTTAGAGCTGACCATTTCATTCCCTTGGACTTTTCTCCCCTCTCAGCGTTTTAACACTTCTGTGAGTAAATTGTCAGAACTGTCCCAACTTCATGCTGGAGAGCTCCTAGCTAGACCAAAGGGGATGCTGATCTTTATACGTTCTTGTATATAGTGTAATGTATTTTGTTTGGAGTGTGTTGTCTCACTGCCGCTCCTGTCCTCCAGAGCAGGAGCAGGATGTGTTAGTTGTGGTTTCACACTGTCTCTGCTCTTCTTTTGTTGTATTGTCTCTCTGTTTCTGTTTTTTTTTTTTTTTTTTTTTTTGTTGGTTTTTTTGTTTGTTTTTTTGAGAATTTTCCTGTACATTTTGTAAGATACATCTTTGTATAGACTTTTTGAAGACTTTGATTCTAGTTGGCCTGTTTTGGCTCATTTCCAAAAGAAATACATCCAAAAAAGATCCTATTTCTGTTTCTCAGTGGGTTAATGAAAATAAGTTRCCACCACTCCTCGTCCTTTCTGTTGTTCTGCGTGTTCCTTGCCAGACCTCACTGTGGCATCTCTGTCACTGGCTGTTGCACATATGCTCAGATCACTTGCCACATCCTGTGATCTCCCCAGTGTGCCGGGTCTGCATGGGGGCAGTCTCCCTTCTGGAAAAGCCTGGCTCTGCAGTGGAAAGAGGGCAGTCAGCCTATCATCATCATCAGAGGGTGGTGGGAGATGAGCTAGCACAAAAACTTTCCTTACAGCTGTCACTTTAGCCCCTGCGTCTCTGTGTACCTTGTCGGGCCCTGTTCATGTCAACAGGCAGAGATGGTAGGTGGGCCTTGGCCCTGGAGATCTCTGGCTGCTGCTGAGTAGAGAAAGCTAGGCTTAGCTCCACCCTTGGTGGTGCTCCTCAGCTGTAAGGCCTGGTGTGGGGGCCTGTAGCATCTGAGGAACAGTATAGAGTKCTGGAGTTTGTGCTCCAGATCTGAGTGAGAGCAGGAGAACCAGAAGCCTGCTTTGCCTGAGTCCTCATTAGCCTTGTGTTGCTGGGAAACCTGGCTGGAAGTCCTTCCGCACTGAGGGAGTGCTCTGGGTCAGCGTTCACRCAGGGCCACAGGCAAGGCTCAGGTTACAGCGCTGGAGGGCTCTCCTTCCTGCTGCTTCTTGCTGAGGGTTCTACACACTTGTGCCATGGCCCTGCAGTTGCACTTTGTAGCTGCTCTTTGTGGCTACCAAGCCAGGTAGGAAGACCCGCCACCTGAATTAGGATGCCCAGGAGATGTTAGATCTTGCAGGGGCAAAGCTTGGTGCTGCACCTGGCCTGCTGCTCCTTGGGTTCATGGAATGAAGTCCCTCCTTGCATGGGCTTCCTGGCAGCTTTCCTTTCCTGGTGAGGGAGTGATCCCTGGCTGTGAGCACCCTAAATCTCYGTTGCTTGCATGGCCTTTAATCCACGTGAAACCTGACCCCCTTGTGCCTTTGCTGCCTGGTGCTACAGGGAGCTGCTTTATTCCCCATTCATGGCGAGCTCACCGTGTGAGTTGTAGCAGGGGCTTGGGGGGTGCTTCACTGTGGGGACCCAGCCTGGGGCCCTGTTTTGGGGGGCAAGGAGGGCCTCGCCCTGCTCTGGTCCCCTKGACTGCAGCGCTCTTGCTTGGAGCAAGGCCCCATCGCTGCAGTACATCAGGGTGAGYGTGGGGGCTCCCGGAGGCCTCGAGGGAGCCTCGGCTGGTGATGAGATGCTATGGGGCAGGGTGTCCCCGTGGGCAGGGTCCCCCYGAGCGCAGGGTCCCCATCAGCAGGGCCAGCGGTGCAGCCGAGCCCGTGCCGCCAGGTGGCAGACGTGGCCCGGCTCTGGTGCCTGGCGCCAGGTTGGATGGAGCGCAACGTTCTGGCAAAACGGCTCTGGAATAGGCAGCACCAGGGTCATACTCCTGTGCAAGCAAGGGCGTGCTCTGGTGTCACCCGRTTGTGGAAGGATCTGGCCTTGCTGGGTTGTCCTCAAGGACAATGTGCTGCCCTCACAGGTGGCCTTGTCCCTTGCTTCTGCTGCAGGGTAAACTGAGGCAGAGAAATTCYGCCCTCCTCTCACCTTCCATGTGCAGTACCTGAACCTGTGCCTGCCTCCTGCATGCAATGACCGTAGGGTCATTATGGTTGGAAAGTCCATCACCGTCGAGTCCAACCGTAAACCCTTCGGCGCCATGCCTGCTGACCCATGTCCCCAAGCACCTCCTCGACACACTCCTTGAACTCTCCCAGAGACGGTGACTCCACCGCTGCCCTCGGCAGCCTCYTGCAGCCCTCACCTGCTCCAGGTGGGCTTAGAGTAGAGAGTCCAGCCAGGGCTTAGAGCAGAGGTCAGCAGGAGTGGGGCAAAGCGAGCGGGCCCAAGACCGGCTTCCCTTGGTGCAGGGTCCCATACTCACCTTGAAGCAGAGAGGAAGCCAGACAGGTGGGAAGGAACCAAGCAGGCCTTCCCTGTGCCTGTTTTCCAATCCCAGGAAAGAAAGCAGAATGAGCTCAGGGAAAGGCAAGCCTAACACCCCTGCTGCAGCCCTGGCAGGCCATTCCCCGGCACATCCCAGCAAAGGGCTTTGCTCCTCAGAGTGCTGGGCTCTCACGGGGAGGGCTTGTTTCCCAGCATGTGGGCTCAGCAGGTCGATGAAGCGCATTGCTGCATCTCTGCAGCTTATTGATCGCGCTCGGAGCCTCTCCTGCTCGGAGGGTTGCCAAGCGGGACCAGGGGCCCTGCTGCTGGTGGCTGTTTTGCAGGTGGGGGCACTCGCGCCAGGCTGCAGGAGGCCAGGGAGGGATGTGGCCCTTCAAGCCCAGGAACCAGCTTCCCCGAGTGTGCCGGAGGCTGGGAGCAGCACTTGTGTGCGTGGGGACAGTGTTAGGAGTGCGCAAGCTGCTGGGTCTGGCCTAGCCCCTGGGCTGTGCTGGGGCGGCAGGGAACCTAGGTCTGGGCTCCTGTCAACCCCTCCTTGCTATAGGTTCAGGCCATGGGGCTGGAGCTGAGCCCACCTTGAGCACCGTTGTGCTCATCTCAGATTTGCAGAGCTTAGGCTGGGCGTGCTGCAAGGGCACACAGGGCCCTCTGAGGAGTCACTGCTGCTTGTCTTTAGGCTAGCACCAACCTGCCACAGCCCCTCAGCAGCCAGGGCTCTCCTCTTCCTCAGGGCCCGGGGGGGGAGGGGCGCTTAAGGCCTATTGCTGACCTAGCCCASCTCCTGAAGTCCCACCTGGGGACCCCTTGGGGCAAGGCCTAACCTGAGCTGTGGAGCTACTCACATTTCACATCCCTGTGGTACGTGGCGGGTCAGATACCTTCTGCTTTCTTTTTCACCCCTTCCCAGCCCTCCCAGAAAGAGCTGTGGCTTGAGGGCTGCTCTAGGACTGTGCATGGACCCCTCAGCGTAAGGTCCTCCATTTCTAGCAACAATTTGCAGAACAAGTCGCTGCAGAAATTGCCTCCAAAATACTGTTCTCTCTAGTCATCTCCTGGCTGGGGCCTCACTGCAGGTGAAACACCGAATCCTGCCTGTTGCAGGTGACTGGTTCGTAGCCACCATCTTCCATTGCAGATGCGAGGCCCCCAGAGCCTGCCTGAGGTCAGTGTTGTCCTTGGATTTCCATCTGTCCACAAGTAACGCTGGGAGGGAGTGGCAGCAGAGTGAATAGTAGAGAAAGCAAGTCCTGCAATAAGGGCCAGGAGAGCCTGTAGTACCAGTACCGCAGGGTTGCCCCGTGCCTCAGTTTCTCATGGGCATTCCTGGCTGGGGGAGCTGTATGGCTGCATGGTTCCTGGGAAAGCCTCTAAGTGCCCAGCCCCAGGTCAGCTAAACTCCGTCACCCCCCTGATGCTTCTTACTACCAACACTCAGGCACTGCCCAAAGCCAGGTAGGGAAACTGAGGCACAGAGCACTGCTGCTTCTGCTCACTCTGCGGCCATGTCCTGGTATGCAGGAGCGCCTGTGCAGGCCCTGCTGTCCCCTGGCTTGTAAGGTGGTGGGGTGCACTGCACCATGGACCCAGAGAGTTCCAATTCACCTACGCTGATGGAAGTCCAGGGTGGCACTGGGCTGGTGGCAGTGCCCAGCCTCCCCAGGGCAGGGCTCAGCTGTTGCCATGAGCAGAGAAGATGGGGCTCAGGGCCACATAAGGCTGGGGAGAGCTCTGGACCCTGAAGAAAGAGAAGGTAAGGGGAGTTGCAGCATGCGCTGAGGTTTATCAGTGCTCAGCAGCCCTGCGTAGCCTGAAGAGGGGACAGGACCAGGCTTTGATGTGTCTAGCATCCATGGCTGTGCTGGCAAAGCACTGCCCCAAAGACAGTCTAAAGCACCTGGGCTTGTGCTGCAGCTTTCTCTGTCCTGCCAGAGGTGAACACTGAGAACATGGACATCGTGCCAGGAGCCAAGTGGGCACCAGCATTGCAAAGCTGGCAGCACACACAGCTTTGGCACCATGCAGACGTGAGCAGGACGTGGCTCCTGCTGCCCCTTTTCAGGGTCTGAGCTGCCTGGATGTGGCCAATGTGTGGCCACGGTACCCAAACTGGAGATGGCCACATGCAGGCTCAGCCCACAGCCTCTCGGGAGCTGCCCTGGGGGGCCGCTCTTGACCAGGTCTGTGAAGCATCAACACTTTCCACACTGATTGGGTTAATTAAATTAGGTTCTAACAGGGCTCTGGGGATCCAAACCACAGTAGTTTTCACGTAGAAGTCTCACTGCAGGAATGTTTGAACGTGATGAATGAGCTGTAACTCAGATGCTTCCCTCCACCTTTTTCCTCTAAACCCAGATCCTCTTTCGAGTAGATAGTCAGACCTGGGGCCAACAGGTAGAAGGTTCTGTGGAGCTGTCCATGCTACACCCCTAAATTTGTCCAGGTGGTGGTGAAGCCCTCAGCATCCTGTGAGACCTCTGCTTTGCAGAGTGACGAGAGTCCTGCTGTTGTAGCGCAGGGCTTTGTTACTTGCCCTGTGCCATGCTGCTGGGGGCAGCTAGCAGCTCCCTTGTGGGGAGCATGAGGGCATGGGTGCTCTGGGTCTCCCCTGGCCAGAGGAATGCCAGGATTTTGGAAACTGGCTCTGAAAGGGATCCAAAAGCTCTGGCTCACCCTTTCCCACTCCTCTGATTCCAGAAATTGCTTTGGGCTGGCACAGTGTGTGAGCCATTGAGTGCCGCTGTGAGATCAGAGGGATTGACCGTCAACCAGACGGGGCCCTCAGAGCAGATTCCACAGCAGGAGACCAGTGGTGACCATGCTTGAGTGCAAAGTGCCTGTGCTCTCCACCACCCCCAGCT